AGATTGCGGTGTCACTGCCGAATGGCCGACTGCGTGGCTGGGTCACTGCGTCGGTACTCCGTGTCACGATTTCAACGACTGTTCCGGCGAATTGATCTGTCAGGGCTGGCCTAACCCTGTCTGCACGAATCCGGCGAATAGGAAATAAGGGCTCTCTTCGCCTGAAGGGATGAGTAAGTGGCTCATTGGTTGTGACTGGATTTCACTTCTTGCACGGACGGTTTCGCTTGATGCGGAGCTTTTGGGGTCGATAGATAGATAGATAGGTCGATAGGCACAAACAAAGTTTTGAAGACTCGAGAGGTTGTGAGAATTGATCCGCCGATTATTGACCAGTGAATCAGACTGTTCCGATTCCCATCACCGAAGCTTCCCAAAATTTTCCCCTCCCTCCCTTCCTCCCTCCCTTTTCTATTCCGAGATTCAAAGTACACACTGCACACTGCGTTCTCCGTCCTTTGCCGCGCCCGTCAACGGTACGGCCCTCCGTTCCTTTCAGAGCACCATCCAGTCGAGCTTCGAGCCTGCCACGATCCACGCTCGAAGCGGCATCACGATACACTGTGTCTTTCGGAACGCCATCGGTGGCTGTGGATGGACGGCTCGCTTCTATAATTTATTGTACAAATTGACATGGTGAAAGTCTCACGGCGCCGTGGGTAGGGTCTTTGCCCACCCAAAATGGCGCAAATGATAACGACGGCGATGGTGAGGTCTTGAATAGGCGTCTTGAGGGGATATGATAGCACACAGGGAAAGGACACCATGGTAAGCGCAGGCCTTGGCGATTTAGTAGAGTAAGCATTTTGTTAGGGCTCAACGACGGGAGATGAGCCGGCGCTTGTTTGGCAACTCATCGTCATCACCATCGTGTCGGGATCCTGTCGGGATGCCATGTCATTGCCAACTACCGCGACCAAGACAGGCTTAGGTCCCGCCATGTATGCACAAAATCCCCCCAGAAAACATGGGGATCAAGCACCTCATCTGGCAGATCTCTCTACACAAAAAACAACGAGCTCCGCCAGTCCGCCGCCATGACTCTCAAAACTAACGATCCCTACTCCCCTTCAGCCCGTGATCCCTACGACAGTGCTATCGACAGCGTGGGACGCAAATTACAACCAGTACCCTACCGCAATGGCGCTGGTTCCGATGTCCTCGGGCCTCGCAATTACGCTCGAGAACGCCAGGCTCCGGATATGGTCAGGCCGCCGGCAACCGACAGTGGTACCATGTCCAATATGAAATGGAGCTTTGCCGATTCCCATACACGTATTGAGGATGGAGGCTGGGCAAGGCAGACAACGATCAGAGAGCTGCCTACGAGTAAGGAGCTGGCTGGAGTGAACATGAGGTTGGAAGAGGGTGCTATTAGGGAGCTACACTGGCACAAAGAGGTATGGAATGGCTACGTGCCAGACACACTACTTGCTAATGCGACTGTGTGCCAGGCAGAATGGGCATACGTACTCGAAGGCAAGGTACGAGTTACAGCACTGGACACTGAAGGAGGCAACTACATTGGCGACGTCGAGAAGGGAGACCTGTGGTACTTCCCTGCCGGACACCCTCACTCGCTCCAAGGCATTGGTCCCGGTGGCTGCGAGTTCCTCCTGATCTTCGACGACGGCAACTTCAGCGAAGACTCTACCTTCCTACTGTCAGATTGGGTTGGCAGGTTACCCTCACAGACCAAAGAAACATAGTCAAACAGCAGCTAACCCCAAACAGCGCACACCCCTCAATCAGTTCTTGCCAAAAACTTCCGTCTCCACCCCAGCATCTTTGACCACGTCCCCTCATCCGAGCGCTATATCTTCGAGGGATCTGTTCCTGGGCCAATTGACAAGGAGAATCCGATCGGTGTTAAGAAATCTCGCCACCGCTTTACGCACAAAATGCTAGCACAAGAACCGCTCAAGGCACCAGGAGGCCAAGTCCGCATCACCGACACCAGCAACTTCCCTATCAGCAAGACCGTTGCCGCCGCACACGTCACAGTGGAGCCCCACGGCATCCGCGAGATGCACTGGCACCCAAACGCCGATGAGTGGTCTTTCTTCATCCGTGGCCGAGCTCGAATCACCGTCTTCGCCTCATCCAACACTGCGCGTAGTTTCGACTACATGCCCGGAGACGTGGGCATTGTACCTAAGAGCATGGGCCACTATGTGGAGAACATTGGCGATGAGGAGCTGGAGTTCCTAGAAATCTTCAAGGCACCGAAGTTTGAGGATTTCAGTCTGGAACAATGGCTGGCGGCTACGCCTAAGAGGAATGTGGCGGAGCATTTGTTCCAGGGTCATGAGAAGGCCGGAAGGAAGTTCGTGGAAGAGCTGGAGCTGAAGAAGATGCCTGTGAAGCCGGCACCAAAGCGTGCAAGCAGTGTGCCATAAGCGGCCACACAGTCCATACGTAGCTTGCTCCTTAACGGCTGCTCGCCAGGCAAAGTCAATAACAATGCGCTCACATACCACTTTTGTCTCAAGTCTAGTCGACAGCGCTCCAAAGACTCGTTCCTTCAAGGTGTTAAGTAATTTTCTCCTCCTAAGCACATGATCGCTACTGTCCTTGATTTCTTCGTCAAATTCATTTGGTCTGTGGACCCATAAATACGGCCACCCCCCGGGTAATTCTTTATTTGTTTTCCAGCCAAGACGTGTGAGATCCAACCATGATCGAATCCTTCCCTCTACTGTTACATATAAATCTCCATTCTCCGAGCATCTTCCTCCTTTCCCAAGTCCCTTGTCGCACGCTCACATTCGCCACGTTGAGCCTGGGGGTTGGTGACTCTGAGAATCTTGTTACCGTAGCATCTTCCCGACATCGCCGTCGATCAAGAACATTAAGAATCTATAGGGTTAGAATGTATTGAGAGGGCTGGGATTCATCTCCAACTCGACCTGCATGTAAGCCTTCAAAACGGCTTTTAATCGGTCGATCTTATCTGATAGACCAATCTAGGTTTAGCGTAAGATTAAAGCCTGCTGCGGAAGCAGAAAATAAGAAGCACCGCAACACCATTGTACCAGCGCCATTAGGAATCGAACCTAATACGAACTCAATACCACTAACAACAGAAGCCATCTACATCCCATCACAAACTTGATCGCTTGGACTCGGGTGCTTTCAGAAAGCCGAATTGTTTTTGGTAGCCCTATACGACCTACTTGGTCATTACACCATCACTGGCCCCAGAATTCCATTCAAAAGGGAGGCATGACCGATCCCACTTTCCGCCAGCACTCTGCGTTAGTGGCTTGCCATGCCCTTTCATACTCCTCAAAGCCCGCGGGATCAGCAACGTGATTAATCCAAGCACGATCAGTACAACTCTGAATACCCCGGATCTTCCTCATTATGTCCCTCATTATGACGAGTTGCAGTGTCTCCGCACCGTAACTCTCGGGTTTTATGCAGAATTGTATATCGGTGCCACAAAACTTGCACTCGCCTCTTGGTAATAGGGTTGATGGCGATTTTGATGCGCACGTCAAACACCGACAGGTAGGAGTAGGATCTGGTCTGTTCCATATCGATCGAAACTTTTGACAATCTTGAGAATAAATACTTGCTACATATGCATCACTGAGGCGCAAATGCGGGCAGATTGGTGCGTTGAGTGGACGGAGAGCCTCCCTCACTTCTTCGTTTGATGGTGTGCCGTTGCGGGTTACCCGTATGATCGGCCACGATGTCGTGTATCCAGGGAGTACATGAACCGGATTGCTTCCGCATCTGTGGCTTTCGTGATCTTCCCTAAGGGTTTGCGCTTGGCCATAATCGAGAATCTGATGTGGACAAATCCACAAGAATCCAGCGCTGCCTAGGCAGCGACGCTTGGCGCTGGGCTGTGCGAGGGATGATACTGAGAACAGCGAGCAGTCGTGCGTATCCGCGCACCCACTGCAAATCGCTTTTGATGAAGGAACCCGTCCGTCGCGATCTAGCATACAAAGCAACTTCAAACGCTCTGACAGATAAAGTTGGGTACGCGACTTGGACATGGCTTCCGAAAAGTGCGTGTTTTGCTTGTTACATATGCTCTCCAGATTCAGGAGGGGGATCGCGGGCATAAAGTCTGATAATTGGGCTTTCCGCTGTGTCTTCCAATTACTAGTTGAAGGGAGATGCAGAGCTGATGGTGGCGTCTCCAACATGAACAACTCAAAAGACACGAGGCTGCTTGGCGGCAAGTACTCTGAGACGTCGAGAATGATCTCAGTGGGTAGATCGAGCAGGGTCTTCCGGACGGGTTCGATAGAGAACCCTCTACTCGTGCGAAAAGCCTTTGAAACTGCCTTGCTGATGCACTGGGCATAGTTTTTCCTGCTCGGCAATGTGATGATTTTTTCATCTTTCGGTGGTTTGGATGGTCTGGATTGGCACTGAGTTTCGTGTTCATGAAAGGCAACCAAAGCGCTTAGGCTCTGAGTATCTTTGACAGCGGCTCGAGTCTTCTTGAGACCCGACGTTTTCTGGCCCATCTCTAGAGACGGACAGGGAGCTTTTGCGGGTTATTGCTGACTTCCAGTCTTGAGCGTATGTCTTCAGTGAGTCCGTCTACGCGTCGGTATGTATCCAGCACATTCAAGGACGGTAGCGGTCAAGGAAGAGCCCTCCAAGGGAATTCCCGCAAAGACCGGGGCGTGGAACTCCTTCTAGCTCATCTCGACGAGCAAATTTGAGCTAAGCTAGGGTCACGCTTGGTGGCGGTGGGCTTGATTCCAAGGTTTGTGGCAATCTCCACGGAAGGCCAAGACCCGCTCGTTCTTGTCCATCTATTCCATGATGCTACTAGCAATACCTGACTCAACGTAGTCGATGGCCTTGAACCCCAGCATCCTACGTACGTAACCGCCATTCAAGATCCGATATAGGAGAAAGCTTATGCTGCAATAGCTCTAGATGCATGTATTGCAGGCGGTCTATAACCAACCCCCTCTCAAGTCTCGGAATCTCAATCCACCAAACAATTCTTATCTCGAAGGTGTTCAGGTCCCAGCCAATCCAAGGACTCCCAATGCTGAAAGCATCTCCGCCCACAACTCGCCCACGATCTGCTGATAAAACGGTTCCAATGCACGCTTGGCGAGCCCTGGCATGGCTCGATGATCATTGGGCAACCCTCCAATGCCCTGGTACAATTTTTCCGTCTCATTAGCATGCTTTCTTGGAAAACATAAGATGTTCAGCTCCGGGTCGTCGAAATGGGAGAAGAATATCATCTCATCTGACGGAGCGACTTTACGATCTTCAGAATATACGTGGAGGGAGATGCCCGGTATCATGTGTAGGTTGCCGTCCATGTCTTGTATGATTCGACATACCCATGCACCTACTCCCATTCGACGCTTGGATGCCATACAGCCAATGTTATGTCCATATGCCCGACATCTGAGTTGCAGCCACCTGACAAAGATGTAGTCGGGCATGTCCCAGTGTGCTGAGGCGTCCCGAAGCTGGTAGAAGTCACTTGCAATCGTCACTCGTCCGCGGAGTCTGTTCCATAGGCCAAAGGCATCTACCAACCTCACGCTATCAATCTTACTAACGAGCCATCTGGGTAAGGAAGGGGCCTGAGATGGGTTGCCTCTTTCAGCTTTCGATTCATTTTTTGTCTCCCAAATCACGTTAGGAGCAGTATATGGAACAGAGGACCAGCAAAGTGTGATTTCCAGCTCGGTGAGCGAATCTTTGAAAATCAAGTCACGCTGGTCTGTCCATCTGATATCAACCTCCGTGGAGAAGCCTAGAATTTTCGGGGCCCAGTCCCAAGCTAGGATTCGAATTATGGCCAGTATGCCTTGGATACCGAGCCAAAGCCCAGATTGTTTTGCTGAAGCAGACCGTAGCTCGATATATTGGCACACATAGGCGACTGTGATGCAAATTGCAGCGCAGGAACTCGCCATTCTTATGGCACGGAGCCCGGATGCAGAGACCGCACGACAGTCGAAGATGTAAAAGTGGTCGTCCCTTGCGAAGTACGCAAAATGATTCTTACGCATCAGGGACTTCCCAGGTACATCCGCAGATCGAGCTACTAGGGTTGTGCCATTCTTCCAGTCGGATCGAAACCAATCGGAAGATTCGAAGGGCAAGTGTTCAGTGATATACACCCAACACCATGGCAAGCCTCCTGCAAGGACCGAGGCCGGCAGACCAACGCACGCAAAGAATCGCGCCCAAGTCCATGGAGCGGCGAACATTACAATCATGAAGCTGGAAAGACTTGCGGTGAGCATCAAGCAAAGCCCGCACATTCCAAGTGCTAACCTAGCCGTGGAACCACTCCTGGCTAGTGAGCACATCGCGATGCTGAAGGATGGGTCGTAAGCTCTTCGATCACGCAATGCCCGCTTGCCACCGCCAGCGATCAAAGGCATACTCTCTTGAGTATGTGGTACTGTTTTTACAATCTTCCATTCCACGGACGACGCGGTAATTGTACGCTCTAAATAATGCACCTCGATGATCCTTTCACTCTGGGCCACATCGCGGCGTCTTACTCCGGCGAATGATCGCAAGCTTGTTGTCGAGAAGCCGGTACGCTCGCAGAAGTCGATGCCTAGGCTCAGTTTGAGCAGCGCACGAACGTATCCTAACAAACCTAACAGTGATAGAGGCGCGGTTACTGGAGGGAGGAAACCTCGTGTGTAATCAATTGTGTATCTCTCTACGCCGTCAGTAGCAAATAGACCCACTAATGCCGCGAGATCCTGAGTGCCGTCGGCTAGTATTTGGAAGCCATTGTCTCTATTTGCTTGGTTGTTGACGTTTGAAAAGGTCATATTCGACGTCGGTTGGTTCGAAACGGGTGTTGCGCCTGCGAACGAGGCATGGTTCACGAGTGTACTGAACAAGGCTGCTGGCATAGTCAAGAGTACACAACGTGGTCTGAGTACCCCACGCCTTATCAAGTTCCAACTATTCGGCATGTTAAAAACTTTGAGCGAGTCTTCCAACAATCGCAGGCTTTGCGAAGGATATTAGGAGAGAGATCAAAGGCCTCCGAATCTCGAGCAAAACTCTCTTAGAATAAAGCTGACACGTTTAAGTCAAGTCTGTAACGCTTATTGGTGAGTGTGACGGAGATACGCATGAGCCAGGCGGTTTCAGGCGGAGATACATCCAAATTAGGCGACTCTAGGCTGCCTCGACACCGGATTTAGCAAGCTAATTATGTGTATGCACAATGAACATTCAGCGGACAGATGCAGAAGAACGTACGATTCCCATACGCCCCACTCAGCACGACTTGGCAACATATCAGCCCTCTTTAGCATCCTTTGACAGAGAGTCGATCTGCGAGAGATCTTCAGCTTGACAGCTACTATGTTGGGGATCGGAGCGTTATCATGGCGCCGCTAGTTCTTCCCTCTTCATCGCTTCTTGATAGGCAGAAGCGAAAGCCTACGCGCAAAATACACGATCATGATTGGGCTGGCTTGCATAAGCTTCATGTACCTCGCACATGACGACTGTCAGATACTGGTTATTGGCCAATCATCTTGATTTCTCTCGCGAACCGCCGAGATTGATAACGCAGTATGAACTCCTCAATTACCCCGTATCGCTGCACGTTTGAGGAGCTTTTCCTGGAGAAGCAGATGTGCAGGATTATCAACGCAGCTTTATGGCGCACGTCATTGGCAGTATGGTTATCCACCTTTCTCCACCTCCCCCATCATTTTCCTGCTCAGACCGCACCGTCAATTAGTCATGTTGTAGTTCATGGCAAGCTTGAACACGGTGCGTACGCAGCAAACTCTGACTACTACATTGGTGCACTATAAGCCTACATCATGCGCATCTGGAGCTTTGAAGCTCTGGTTGTAGGGTGTATCGCCGCACAGGGTGTAACTGCTCAGCTCTTGGATCCTACCAAGAACTACTGCTGCCGGTTTGATCACCAGTGTGGGTACCATATGTGCAAATCCTTGATCATCGAGTATTGCAGCTAACGTAGAGCAGCGGTCATAAAGAATGGCATCCTGTACATTTACATGGGGAGCGAGACATTTGTCGACTCTCAGACCTATGGACTTGCTAATGGCACCATCACCGTCGGTTATAGTACTCTACACATCCTTGGCTCTCTCCAGGCAACTCATCGAGCTGATGATAGCAGATGAATACGTGATCAGCGTGAACCTCAGTAACTCATGGGACTGGAAAACCAATATATCCGAGACTGCTTCAAACATCACTGCGGACCCTAGCACTGGCTCCCTGCCTCCGCAAGTCGTTCGTGGAACGCTGTACCAAGGCACCCAGAACGACGACAGCATTTACCTCTATGGAGGGACAACCTCCTATGCAAACACTAGTTTCCCAGGATGGCAGCCTCCTTACCCTTCCACCTACTCACTATGGTCATATGATCCTGAATCCACGCAATGGTCACAAATTGACGTCGGACAATCTGCGCCCTACAGACCCAGCAATGGAGCCGCTGCAGAGGCGGTAGACCAAGGCTTTGCATTCTATTTCAACGGCGAGCTCGATAGCGGTAGTTCGCAAGGTAACGGTATCATTACTGGCACCAACGTTTTCGTCAGCGGGATGGTGGTCATCAATACCACCGATCAAACTGTGAGAAACCTTTCCACAATCCAAGTCAGCGCCGATCTAGCCCGGGCGCGTGGACGGATGCAATACGTTCCTGGGGTGGGCCAAAAAGGAATCCTGGTCTTGATCGGCGGGAGTAGCTTCGAAGCTAATCTGCTTGACAGTACGGACATTATCAACCTTGTATAGCATACGACCTCTATGGAAGAGTTGCAATAGGCTGACCTGTTCGCCAGTTACCAATGACCGAGATTGATGTGTTCGACGTCGCCTCCATCTACAACACCTCAACACCAGATGGGGTCTGGTATAAACAGAATGCCACGAATCAAAATGCGACTAATGTACCAAGTCCGCGCGTAGACTTCTGTTTAGTCGTTGCGTCTGCTCAGGACTCATCCAGCCACAACATGTGAGCAGTGAAGCCCACCACCTCTGCTATGATGTTTGGCTAACAGGTAGTAAAGCTACATGTATGGAGGTCGAGACGGAGCCAATCCCCCAAATTACTTCGACGAGATCTGGGTCCTGTCATTGCCATCCTTTACATGGACCAGTATATACTCCGGCATCAGTCCTCGGTTCGCACATACATGCCATCTGGTGGGCAACCGCACCATGTTGACCGTAGGTGGCGTCGCCGCTGCGAGCCAAATGCAGGGGTTGTATTCTGCAGATCCACCAACTTGCGATTGGGAGGTGAAGGGCGTTGGGGTTTATGATATGTCTGATCTGGTTTGGGGCAGCGTCTACAACGCTACCGCTCCTGCATATGAAGTCCCGGACCTGATCATCTCCACTATTGGTGGAAGGTAAGTCCCCATTTGTGAGACCAACAAGCTGCCCATCGAATGCTGACGCGATGGATCACAGTCGTATCGGTGGCGCTACAATGAAGATGCCTCCGTCCAATTTCTCCCAAAACGGCCTTGCTCTTATTTTTGGCCTCAATTTAGATGACAATACAGAAGCCCCTTCAAACACAGCGCACAAAAAGACCGCGATCATAGCCGGTACTGTCTGCGGTGTTGTGGGCTTGGCTAGTCTGGTTGCATTGGCAGGGTACGCGGCTTGGCGGTGGCGCAAGGCGCATAAACATCCTGAGGAGCAGGTGTACGAGAAAGACGTTTGCTCAGATGTGCATGGGGGAGTCGTTGAACAGGTTCAACTGCAACCTCACTCGACAAGTGAACAGCCACGATAGTATGGGCCCCCATGACCGGTGTACAGCGGGTTCTTTGTTCATGTACGGGTAAATCGGGTCTTGAGGTGTCTACGAGTCTCAAGCGCGGTTGCGTTTGTTAATGCTAGATCTTGTGTGAAAACCTTTGTACGTGGACCTTCTGAGGGGATTCTCTACTATCTACTATTTTAAACAAGTCCATAATGTCCCGAAGAAAGTCCTTATAGAGTTCCAACCAACAAAAATACGGTTTTGATGTACAAGGTCTGCAACCCCTCTGCTCCGTGTGAGAACCTGGGTCCCGAGCTTTTTCTCCCAGATCCAGGCGCCAAGAACCCTACTCCTGTTCTGGCCTAGCACATATCTTCCGTGCATCTTTTTCGCCTTGGTTGTCTTGTACTCTAGACCAGTACGGTCTGGCACATCGAGAGGCAGCGCTTTTCATTGCCATTGCCAGCATGATCACGGTTTCATTGGTCCCCCCCAGTCGCCAAAGAGGTTCTGGGAGCATACTCGAGGCCGTTGGTCCGTTGGTCGAAAGCTTCAGGAAAGGACAGACTCAAAGAAATGGACGGCACATGATCTCTATGTCAATGATCGGCGAGTTGCAAGGCTACAAGGACAAGGCGATGAGAAATGCCGTAGCTGGAAAGAAGATTCAACTAAGAATGCATGTTGCAGAAGTATGGAGCGCTCGGAACACCACGTGCATAAATGTGCTGTTGTGCGAGGCTGGTCGGTTCCAATCTATCGCAACCACCACCCCAACCAGCCTATGCTGTGCCCTCATTGGCCGTCTAAAGATACGAAACAGGAGCATTGATCAACCACAGTTGGAAAAGATCTGCCGAATAGAGTCTTCGTTAGTGACCACGGCAATCCGAGTGTTGCGATCTTCCAGCTCAAGTTTGCAGTGGCTGATGCGCGGCTATATTGGTCTGAAGACGACGGTAGACCTGAGTCGCAAGCATTGCGAGGAAAATCTATACGCCCCTATGCCCATAGGACCAAGATGTCCAAAAACTCGGGAGTTTCTCTGAAGCAGATTCGATTCTCCGAGTCTCGAACGGCAGACTGGGAAAAAGAGATGTTGAACACTAGATCTACTGAAGCCCTACTGTTCAACGCTGTCTATCTGACCTCGAGACCATGTTTTACAGTAATTCAAAACGCTTGCTTATGAACGAAAACTCTCCTCGCCAGACCCCCATCACAAGCCGGAACAATGAACAGCATTTTCCAGCACCGTCCTTTCAGACGACATCCTGCGCACCCTTCTCCGCCAATACCGGCGGAAAGCTCGTCATCGGCTTCGTCTTCGCCTTCGCCCTCAACGTCGCCCGTATATCTTCCGTGCTCTTTGCATTCCACGCTCCATAGCTCAGTGAATACATCAACCGGTTCCCTTCCGTCGCGATGAAATCTTCCGGCTTCGGCGGCTCTTTGGAACTTATCACATTGATCTCGTCCTCAATCTGTTTGCAGTACCTGTCTAGCGGGAGATCATTTTCGTCGTAGCCGAAGGGGTCTTCGATCTCTCGGCCGATGGCGGCGATGCCCAGGATTATGTAGGCGCCTACGACCGTTCCGGGGATCGTGACCCAGCGCAGTGAGTCCCAGAGTTGGAAGGGCAGCGCGATGACGTAGGTCCAGGTGATTTGACTGATGGCGATGGAGTACGCGACCGGGAGGGGTGTGTTGACAACGCGCTCCGTGCCGGCGAGCACCTCGTTGAGTGAGGCCAGGTTCGCCATCATCATGCCCTGGTGCACCCCGTTGGGGAGGGTCCCGTTCGCTATGATGGATTCCACGTACGCGGACAGGTAGTGCAGCACTTCGAGCGGGAGGTTGCCGAGTTTCTTGCCGTCCTTGTCCGCGCGCTTGATGTGTTTCCGCGGATTCGACTCGAGGAACTCGAGCCCGAGGTAGGAACCGATGGCTTTCAGAAAGGTCCGGTCGGGTTCTTCGACTGCGTGCGCGTCGGATGCTGCACCCGCGAAGGTGGACAGGTTGCCCACGAGCGGCGCCAGGTCGTCGTAGTTGGCGTAGGGCTCGAACCGGAGTCGGCGTTTGAGCGAGACGGCGAAGGCGTTGATGAGGCTCAGGGCGGTCAGTTTGGCCAGCAGATCGGCTTTTCCCGCCTCGGGGCTCCGGTCATGCCGCTCCTCGGCGTGGATCCAGATGTGCCGGGCCAGGTCCCGAGACGTCTGGATCAGCTGCGCCCAGTACTTGCGGCCTTCGACGTAGCGCTCGTAGGCGCTGGAGGTGCGGAAGGAGATCCCCAGCCCGACGACGAAACCGAGCACGGTAAGCAGCAGGCTGGATACCACGAGCTGGTACCAGAATTGCGATATGCACGTTATGATGGTCGACCAGATCGCGACGAAGACGAGGGGGACGATCATCCGCGGTGTGATGCTCCCTCTCATGCGGAGGAAGTAGGGCATCTTCCGGTGCTTCTCGATGTCGAGGGGCTTGCTGATGAGGTCGTCGATGGTGCTGGTGTGGCGGCGGGTCGGGGGCCGGAGCCGTTGGTTCGGGGAGGGCGAGGGTTGGCGCAGGGAGGTCGATTGGGGAGAGCTCGAGCTGGAGTCCGGGTCCATGGTGATGCCGGGGGTCTTCAGGGGAGGGTTGGTCGAGAGGGCGGAGGAGGAGGGCCGCGCGTGGAGGGTTGTTGTTGCGGACATGGTGGATGGGTGTATCGCGAGGTGAGGGTGAAGGGGATGATAGGCTGGAAGGGAGGGCGCGTTGACCTGATCGAATGAGGGGTTGCGCAATAGTCAAATAATGAGAGCGCGGTTTTTGAACGTTGTCGAATACAAGGGATAGTACAGACGAAAAATCCAAAAAGAGCAAAGGACCACCTTTTTATCATCAAAAATCGAAAGAAAACCGCAAACGCAGTATTTATCATCCCATCTATATATATATATATCCATCCACATATATCCCAAATCCCAGTAACCAGGCGGCGCTGTCTCGAAATCGCAATTTCCCATCCCATCTCCATTCAGCTTTCCCCACGTTCGCAACCGTTGAATTTGAATTCCCCTACCTCAGGTACGATACGGCCTCAGGCTTACCGAAGCGCCTTTCGGCCCCCAATCAGGCCCCCCGTGCGCCGCGCCCTTACTACCTGTCAATCCGGATGCTGGCTCGGTTGGTTGCTCGGTTGGTGCGGGGGGGTTTTTGTAGGACCCAACTGAGCTGGAATGGCTGTCAGCATACAACGAGGGGTGAAACGTTTGGACGGTCAGGCAGTTGGGCGGGTTGGGCTGAGGCGGATGAGCGGTGTATTGACGACGTTTTGGGAGATTGTGGACGACGTTGAGGCTGAAAGATTGGGAAAATGGGCCTGTTCCGGGTTACAGCTCGGCAGGGGTGAAAAAAAGTTCGGCAGGGGTGAAGCTTCAGCATATGCTCACTTCACCCCGAATGAACTCATAGCATATGCTGAACGTATCCGTTTCACCCCGGATGAACTCGGGCCGGGTCCAAAATAATGTTGGCACTTTAGAGGGGGATATAGATATATACTATACATATGCCTCAACCGCCTGTCCTGTACGTCCCCCGCCGCGAAGACCTCCGTGATCTACTAATTATATAATAAAACTGTATTAAAAGTAAGCGCGTAATAGGTTCCGGAACTATCAAGGCCGAGAGGTCGTAAATAAGGATTTAAGAAATTAGCATTATACGATAAAAGCGAAGCATATGCTAAGTATATGCTTTTATTGTGGATGAATTACCTCGCGCGAGCCAATGTTGCTAGACTGAATTTAATTTTCTTCACCCCCGATAAGGTGCTGGCATATGCTGAGTGTATCCCTTTCACCCCGGACGAGGTGCATATACTTAGCATCTACTCACCCCTGCCGAACTTTTTTTCACCCCTGCCGAGCTGTAAGCCCGAAAATGGGTTGGGGTGCCCCCGGTCCCTTTTGCGGCACGCGGGATTTCGCCACGTGGTTAGATTAGCGGCTTACTAATCGGGTTTTGCTTGTGGTTGGTGTTGTTTCGGAATAGATATGTTTGCAAGCGATGATGATGAGTAATTGTTAATCATTGTCGACTGTCTCGATTTAATTTTGAACTAGTAGTGTATCTCATATTACACCGGTCTTGTCGCCGTGTGCTTGGCATGCCTTCCAATCCCCCCTCCGCCTCGGATATCCCCTCAGTCAAAGTCAATACCGGGTCTAAATCAACTCAACAGTGAATCTCGCCATCCATCGTCAATGTACAGATACATTATCAGGCTGGACATCGTCTCGCACAGTTGACAAAGAATGACGGATGGCGAAAACGTTGAGGGAAATGCTAGCTTTGTGGCATAGCTAAAGTCACGCAGAAAACCTTACCCTCCTTACCTTCCTCCTTTCATGGAGGTTGTCCGGATCGAAATCCAACTGCGTTCTGGAATCGAAGCGGAGCGTGCTTTTCAAACGAATGGGATCTGGTCGTGTTGAGTGTTGATACCATGATTGTATCCTGAACAAGGCATGACGGTGTTGTACGAATCAGGCGACCTGGCTTCTTTTGGGCTTGAGGTTCTCAAGGGCTTGAACCGATAGGGTTGGGAAAGTGCGGCCGCTGTGAGGGGGGAGATGGGACGGTTTGTTGGGGGAGAGGGGCGTGGTGATGCATCGTCGGGCTTTCAAGTTGGGCGAGGTGAGGGTGATGATGGAGGGATGCTTGGAAGGGAAGGGGACCTTGAAGGTTTGAACAAGAGCTCGGTCGGCGTGAGAAGGAGGGGAAGGGTGGTCTCGAGCCGCCTACGAGGCTGAATTGAAGGCGGGTGTTCTTTCCAGGGGCTTGCGATTACTGTGTCGGCGCAATGTATGCATATCTGAAGCGACACAAATCTCGCTATCGGAGTGAACGGAGGAGAACCATGACTTCCTAGTCTCGTGGGAATGTTTTCGGATTGTGGGATTGTACGAGCACATGGAGGACACGACGACATTGAATAAGCTGATTTGAATTCGGTGTTCCCGGAATCTCGCCGAGAGCCCCTTTGACAAGGTTATCGTTCCACGTCATGGGACAAGCGATAAAGGAATTGGTGGTGTGACTTCGAAGCGATGGGTTTGAGGTTAGGTGGCACGCTTCTAAATGAGTAATCCCGAACAGTTGTAATGAAGGTGTCGAGAGGAATAGGATTTGGAGAATGGGCGTTGCAATGGTTGCTAGCTGTGATAAGATCCCCTAAAAGGTATATAGTGTGAAAGACCTCCGAGTTTAGACCGCAGGTTCCGCAACTCATGCTCGACCATCCGAAGCCTCGCTTCTGTCCTGGCGTGCCACAGGCGTTCGGGCTCGATCGGCCACCACCGTCCCCTCATCCTCACTCCCTTCCTCGGTCCAAACTTCAGGCCTGTGGAACGGACTCTCCTTCATCGACAACATCGCCATCTGCTCCTCCGCCCCCTCCTCTTCCACCTCCGTGATATCCGACCCCACTCTTGGCGAACGGAAGACGCTCTTGTTCGTACGGAGCACTTGCACAATCTCACCGTTTCCAGTCTCCTTGGCCATCTGCAAGGCGGTCTGCCCGAGCACGTTCTTGACGGAAAGATCTGCACCCATGTCGATGAGTTTGGAGACAGCATTGAGCCTGCCGAGTTCGATGGCGGCGAAGAATAGGGATTGTATCATGCTTGGGCTTGTAGGCATGGCACCGGCTTCGATCAGGATGACGGCGCATTCGAGGTGCCGGTTATGGTGCGCGATTTTGAGCGGCGTTTCAAGCCACCTGTCCTTTTGATCGTATTTGGCGTGGTGGTTGAGGAGGATGATGAGGAGGTTGGCGTGGCCGGCTATGGCGGCGAGGTGTAAGGGTGCGCGGTAGTAGTCGTTGAGGGAGTCGGGTGATAGACCGGCTTGGAGGAGTTGTGTTAGGATTATGGGATTGTCGGCGTTGACGGCGCAGTGGAGAGCCGTGTTGCCCATGTCTGGGTCGCAGAAGTAGATGTCGTTGGGTTTGGAGGTGATCATGTGCGAGACTTGGTTTTGGAAGCCGAGGTTGGCGAGGGACCATATGGGTAATGCTGTTACCTGCGGGTAGGAACTTGGGGTTGGTTTGGCACTCTCCTCGATGATTTCCTTGGCTTCAAGGACTCTCATGACATTCAAGTTACCGTATTGCCAAGCAACAGTCCAGGGTGTCCTCCAGTGCATGTCCTCGATAGATGGGTCAGCAGCAGAATCCAATAACAGTTTCGCAACTTTAGAGTTGCCATCTCGACTTGCGTCGTGCAGGGGAGTCTTTCCATTCTTGTCTTGGGCGTTGGCATCCAACCCTTCCTCAAGTAGTAGATGGACGATTGCTTCGTGTCCGTCGATAGCGGCGCTGTGAAGGAGTCCGCGATTCAGGTCATCGCGAATTCCGATATCGGCATTGTATTCGATCAAGAGTTTTACCATTGCTTCATTGCCTGCATCTACCGCCCTCAAGATAGCGGTTCCCCCACCCTCGTGATCCTTGATTGAGCTGTCGGCACCTTGCATTAGTAGAAGCTCGGCAATGAAAATCTTGGCCTCGGTCTCTTTGCGTCCACCTTTCGCAGTAGCAGCTAATATCAGTGCAGTGCTTCCAATTCTGTTGTGTGAGTCAACGGCGATGCCTTCTTGTTCCAAGAGGGATGCAACAACGTCAGACTGTCCTGCAATGGTAGCTAGGGACAGAGGTGTGTTACCGTCCAAGTCTTTTCGGTCGAACTGGACGCCCGGTCGGTCCAATAGAGCATTGACAATTTCCAATTTGCCACTCTGTGCTGCTAGCATCAGGGCGGTACGATTGGAGCGCCATGGGTGTATGGCGTTCACATCCAACTCTTTATGTGCTAGTAGCAGCTCGACGGTCTCGATGACACCGCTGTCAACAGCCTCGAATAGGGCAACGCTGTCTCTGTGGCTATATTGGTTCACATCTGCGCCACGTTCGAGCAGCTTGGCCACCGTTGCGCTTTGTCCTCGCCTGCAAGCGTACATCAATGGCGTCTGCTTGTAATTCGGGTCCGTAGCGTTGACATCCAAATCCCCATCGAGCAGCCTGGAGACAATTTCGGTCAAGCCAAACCAGGCGCACACATGCAGCGCGTTAGCACCTTTACGAATGTCCCATTCAGCGCGCTCTGCAGAACGGAGGTACCAAGTGGCTTGGGTCCATGCTGCAATCTTATCGGTGTCGCTGACGTATCGAAAGACTGCTGCTTGTGTCTCTGCATGCGGTCCGGCTTCGTATGCATGGTCTCCCCAATACAAATAGGCATACTCAAGCAGTGGGTACGCTTTTCTTCTGGAATCGAAATCTCTGTCCTCGTAAATGCCTTCACAAGGCTTAGTGAGCTCTCCGAGACTCAGGTAATGTAGTGAGACACGAGCTATGTCAGCTGATGCAGCTGAAAACCATCGCTCGCGGGATTTGTCAAAGTACTCTTGTGCTGTTCGATGATTGAGTCTCACATTCCTCTCGTTAGATTCGATTATTATCATTCCAGCTGTGACTTCAAGAATTGTCGCCTTGTCAGGTCTGGCAGCCTTTCTGAAACCTGCTTTGTTCAGGTCGACCGCCAGCGCATCCCTGAGTTCTGCAAGACTAAGAGGTCTGTGGGCGTGGACCACCCATTCGAGCGTCTTCCGTGCCAGGGTGGAGGCACGAGTGTTCTCCGACTCTTCGGTG